AATAATTTAAATTAATTAAAATCAATGTGTGTATATTTAAATAAGAAAAAACAAAAAGTAAAACAATAAAAAGACAAAAAAGACAAAAAAAACAAAAAAAATGAAATGATTGTTTAGAGGTAGGGGTGCTATTAGTATCCATGAGGATGCCATTTGTCTTTCATTTTTTTTTATCCTTAATTTCACATTTTAATTTATATAAACATTGATTATTTATTTACATTTGTATTTAACACCATCTTTCCGTTTTTTCTAACTTTTTGTTCATGTCTCAATGATTCATTTTCTTTCTCATTAAATATTCATTGTTCAATCTCTCTTTCTCTATCTACATCACTTGATTTGTTTTTCACATTTCATTTTATTTCTCATGAATTGTTTATCGTTCAATCTATTTTTTTTATCTACATCACTTGATTTGTTTTTTTTTTATTTCATAAACCATTACTTTTCAAGAAATTCATTTTCAAGTTTATTTCGAGAAGAATAATTCGGATATGCATTCCTTTTTATTTTTGTTAAGATTTTAGAGTTTTTTTTTTACTTTTCTTAAGTTTTCCTCAATGAAACCAATAGTTTGTTCTTGACAACGCTTTCAGAGTTTTGATTGCAACAATTGTTTGATAATGGAATCTTATGGCAACAATGGTCCAATGATGAAATCATGAAAGTATTATAAACTATGATGCAGCCTCAACAAACTTCAACATGTCTTTTTTAATGATTATCTTTTTTCAAATGGAAAAGTCTTAGGAATGGCAACGGGCCGGGTTCGGGACGGTTTTTAGAGTCCCCGTCCCCGAAACCGATAACCATAACCATCCCCGTAACCGTCCCGATCCCCGTCGGGGATCTTATGGGGATCTCCATCGGGTCCCCGCGGTTTCCCCGATCCCCGTCGGAGATCTTATCAGGGATCCCCATCGGGTTCCCGCGGTTTCCCCGATCCCCGTTGGTAACCCGTTAAGAGCAGAATAACCGTTACCCATTGGTTTTACCCGAACCCGAACCCGAACCATAACCCGAACCCGAACCTAGATCTGGAAAAACATATATTTATCAAGCAAAAAATTGAATAAAAACATAATTAAATAAACCTGTTTGGCTGTTTCTTGGACAACCCATTATCGAACAAAAACATAATCAAATAAACCTTGAGAAAAAAGACAATGTCCATCGTATCGAGTACATGATCAACCCATGATCGACCAAAAATGTCTTAAATTACAATCCCAAAATAAACCAAAGTTTAGACATAATCCAACTAACTCGAAAGACAAATACATAAATTTGCTAGATTACTAACTTGAAACTCCCAAAATGCCAAACTCGTCAACCCAAGCTTTCACTTCCCTTAGCTTCCTATANAAATACATAAATTTGCTAGATTACTAACTTGAAACTCCCAAAATGCCAAACTCGTCAACCCAAGCTTTCACTTCCCTTAGCTTCCTATAAAATAAAATGTATGTAAAAGACTAAATAAATAAATATACCATAATCATTGTCCATAGTATTATAATTGTAGTTACCTCTTCCACGTCATAATCATACTCAATCGTACGACAATATGCTTCGGTCTCATCAGAACAAGTTTCTATAAAGAATACAATGTAGTATAAATAAATAAAAYGATTGAAATATTAAATATATAACTAAAAAGAATTCACAACTAAAAACAAATATAAGATTACCTCGTATTTCATTCAATAGCCAACTTTGAGCACACATTGGAGCCTCCAATGTTTTTGGATGAAGTCGACTACGATGTGGAGTTACCAATCTTCCACCGGTACTAAATGCAGATTCCGAGGCAACAGTCGAAATAGGAACGGCTAATATGTCTCTAGCCATCCTTTGAAGTGTTGGGTATTTAAACCCATTTGTCTTCCACCAAAGTAGCAAATCAAGTTCCATGTCTTTAGGCAAAAGTTTCTCTTTCAAATAATTATCCAATTCTGTTGTAATACCATAATCATCATGTTGGTTGGCAAGTGAAGCAATATTTGATAATAGTTTTTCAAATTCAACCCGATGACTTGCTGAAGACCCTGAACTTGAAGAAGACGAACCACTAACACCTTCGATGTTGTTTCTTACGCCAGGATCACTAAACTCATATTCTTGAAATAAAGTGTAGACCAATTCCTTAAGCCTTTCAAGTTCAATCGCGGATTTGTCTTGTCCGTACAACACGGGAAAAAGTAACTCCACAAACTTCAATTTATACCGAGGATCTAAAACCGCTTCCATTCCCATAATCCCATGTATAACAGACCAATACTTATCAAACTTCAAAAGCATCTTCTTAGCCATGTTTCTAATAACTTCACTAGGAGAACATGCCCAATCGACCAAAGAATACCTAATTTCACATATCGATGGAAAAAATACATTTGTAGTGGGATACTTTGAACCAGAAAACATTACTGTTACCTAAGAGTGCCAAAAAAACAAAAAACTAAAGTTACCTCATATCAACAAAACAAAAGTAAAGTYTAAGTAAAAATTAGAATTACCTCATAAAATAATTGCAATCTATCACAAATCTCTTTAGCAAACTCCCAATCCTGYTGCGTTGGCAAACTTTTATATTGAGACTCTCGTTGGTGTAAGCGTTGAAATACGTCTTTGTAAACTATAGCAACACTGATCATCAAGTAAGTAGAGTTCCATCGAGTCCTGCAATCAAGTGCCAATTTCTTGGTGGATGATATTCCCAATTGGYGAGCTGCTTCCTCAAACTTTTGATCTCTTTTTGGCGATGCAGTCCAAAAGGCCACACTATCTCTGATCCTTTCAATCCCGTCSCCAAGAACARCCAATCCATCTTGAACTATCAAATTGAGAACGTGTGCACAACATCGCATGTGGAACAACCTCCCACCCATCATAAGTGAACTCATAGGAAGCTTGTCCAACAATATGTTGATTATTGCATCATTTGTGGTGCAATTATCAACAGTTAGTGTAGACAGTTTTCTATCAAGATTCCAATCCAATAAAAAATCATAAAGTACATCCGCAAGAACTTCAGATGTATGTGGACAAGGCACATAAATAAACCTCATGATCCGACTTTGCATATTCCAATTTTGATCAACAAAGTGAGCAGTGACCGCCATAAATCCCTTTTTTTGATTGTTAGCCGTCCACATATCAGTCGTAATTGTTATCCTACTAGTGTTCTTCTCTAACATCTTCAATGTCTTTTGTCTTTCAAAATCATAAATCTTTAGTATGTCACTTTTGATGGTGTTTCGAGACGGAACCTTAAACAAAGGCTGAAGACCCCCAACAAACTTTCGGAACCCATGATGTTCTACTATTGAAAGTGGATACTCGTGTATGATTATCATCTCCGTGAGATTTCTTCTTGATTTATCCGCATTAAAAGTATAATTAGAAACATAAGATGAAGTACCATCAACCTTAGTTTGCTCCCCTACTAAGATATGTTGGCGTATATCTCGAACAGGTCGTCTTGCACAAGACTTGAAATGGTCATGTAAATGCCTTGTACCATTTTTCGAGTTCGCTCCCAATTTCTTTTTGCAATAGTTACACTCTGCTTTATCACTACCATCCACTTTAATCTTCTTAAAGTGGTTCCATACTATTGATCGTGTTTTCCTCTTTCTACCCCCAACTCAATTTCATCATTATCAGAGACATGATTGGTTTGCGTTTCATTTTCAGTCGCTGAATTAATCGCAGGTGATGATCCAATTGGTTTACTTTGTGAAATAGACTCATTCATTACTGGATGACTATCAGTAGGACTGATTGTATTGGAATCATTACATTGTATTTCCATATCTTATATCACCTATGTAAAGACAAACAAATTAAATAATACCAAGTTACCAAACCTACTCCATTGATCAACAAATAGATTATGAAGTATGAAGTATCTACAATATCTACAGTAAATGTAAAATGATACCAGGTAAATGTAAAATAGATTATGAAGTATNACAGTAAATGTAAAATGATACCAGGTAAATGTAAAATAGATTATGAAGTATCTACAGTATCTACAGTAAATGTAAAATAGATTATGAAGTATGAATTATGAAGTATCTACAATATCTACAATATCTACAAACAAATTAAATAATACCAGGTAAATGAAGTATCTAAGATTATGAAGTATCTACAGTATCTACAATATTTATAATCTGAAGTATATAAATGTAAAATGTAAATTTATACTGTGAAGAATGGAAGAATGGAAAGAAATCAAAGAATGGAAATACCTTCAATTGCAGCAGGAGAGAGCCGAGAGCGAGAGACAGYGCCGGCGGGGAGTTAGGTCAAGGCGGGAGACTGGGAGAGAGCAATACAGCGCCGACGGGGAGTTAGGTCGCCTGCGAGTGGGAGCGGCGGCCGGCGACAGTCGTGCGGCAGCTGCGGCTGGTGACTGGTGTCGTGCCTCGTGCGGGAGTCACTGTCGAGCGATTTCAAGCAAGCAAGAACGGAGGAGACGAAGTGAATCTGTGAAWGGAATTGGAGGAGGCGACGTTGAGTTTGAGTCAAATCAGTAGATAAGTTGGGCTTAGTAATTGGGCTACGATTGATAAGTTGGGCTACCATTTATTTAAAGTGTAATTTATAAAATTTAAATATATACTATCGGGCCGGTCCGGGTCGGTGAGTACCGTCCCCGTCCCCGTCCCCGATATAATCCCCGAAACTCTCCCGATCCCCGCCTCGTACCCGTTAAGAGGTCCCTGAACCCGACCCGAATTGTTCGGTTTTCGGTTTTCACCGTCGGTTTCGGGTTTTTTTGCCATCCCTAAAAAGTTTAAAAAAACCCAATGGACTTTAGTGTTTGGAATGATTAAGTCCTTGGACAATTTTTTGGAACAAATAAGTCCTTGGACATTCCAAAACATGTTACTTGGACAATTTTTTGGAACAAATAAGTCATTGGACATTCCAAAACATATGAAATAACTCATTGGATAATTTTTGGAACAAATAAGTCATTGGACAATCCAAAACATGTTAATTAACTCCTTGGACTTTTCTAAAATTTGTTGGATACATTCTTATGATTTGTACAACTAGTTAAAGTGGTAAAATAGTGACAAAAGTCCGAAAAAACCCCAATGAACATTCATGTTTTAAACGATTAAAGCCCCAAATATTTTTTGAACCAAAACGTATTTAGATCTATAAAATTAAACAAATATAACAAAAAAGTACTTACATTTACAAAAAAATAATTACATTAAATTTTTTTTGATAATTTTTTTTAATTAAAATTAAAATATATTCTGTTAGTGATTTTTCAAACAAAAAAAAAATTAAA